TGAAACGATTTGTTCTGATTAAGTTTCTATTTAAAGATACCTTGGACTATTAGAAATTGTAAAGTAATGTTTGATAAGGATAATGAAGGTAATTATGTGGTAAATGTTGGAGAAAATGATCAAGCAACTTATTTCAACATTTCATTTCAACCTTGCTTTATCTACGCCTGGGTACTAATCATCATTTAATCGGCGATTTAGAAAAGCAAACCCTGATCACCCAATGTTAATGTCAAGACTAACATTTTATGCTTTTAGTTGGGTGTTTTGAAAAAGTCAATTAGGAATATATAAGGAGATTTAATTGTTATAGGATCAAATCTTCCATGCAGGAACTGGTCCAGTAACTCAGTCCGCCGTCGGGAGAGCTTTATTTGTCATTTACTCAATCGAACTAAAATACATCTTGGGATGATCCCGAGTTTTAGTCTCGATAGACGTGTGGCAATGACCTTGCAGCCGATCTTGGTATAAATGGTTGCGGATGGAAAGATCATTGCCAAAGAAGTAATTCCAAGAACCAAATTCAAAAGAATCTGTGTTATTATTGCGTTAAATACGAATGTTTAATCTTTTGTTTCGTACTTTTAGTAATCTGATAATACCCTTATTTTACCACAGGCCAGAAGAAGACAATTTAAGATAAGTTGAGGAATTATAAAGTATGCTGATAGAATTGATAATGTCGTGACTAGAGTGATGCCGACAATAATTCTCAATTTCTTCGTAAAACTATATTACACAGTGACACATTAATCCAATACAAATCAATTTAAATTTACCAAGGGACATTATTTGTAAGTGCCATGTCATTTTTGCATAATTTTTAGTATGGTTTCCAATTCCTGCTTATGATTATTTCGATTTCCGTTTCAGAAGAAATAACTAATTTGTTTTCAAAGATGTGGAATATAATGAGGTACAATCCCATTGAAAGCAAAAGGCACGTAAAATCATTCTGTTGCTCAATGAGGTCAAAAATGTCGTTCCGTTTTCGAATGATTATTTTACCACCAAGAAAAATAAAGCATGTCAATGCCATGTTCATAATCGACGCAGGTTATATCCCTATCAGTAGATGTCAAATGCATGCTTGAAGGCTAATATTTAGTCTTTCGACCATTCATTGTAAATAGTTAAAATGTCCATTCAAGAACTTTCGAGAACAGCATATCAATATACATATTCATGTAACGTATGTACTTTGAGATTATCAAGATTTGTTCCGCTCTTCGATTTTTCATAATGATAAATAAATATAGGAGGAATTGAATTTATATGTAATTAAAGGGGCGTTACCTAACAGATATAACTATATTATAGGTAACATATTTCCCTTTCAAAACTAGGAAACTGAAAGAATACTACACCTCGGAGATCATTTATATAAAAAATATCTCATGGTGATTATATCTTCGCTTTTTGTTCAACTTCAGTGCGTGTGAAATTAAACTGGTCTAAATATCTTTATTTACTACAATGTATTCTCTATATATCTTAAAATATCAACAACTCAATAAATTTTACAAAAAAGGAGCACGAAATATGTGCTCATTGTTCGTGAGAAGATAGCTCAGCTCTATCATTGCAAGTACTTCACAATTTTGCACATTTATAATTTGCTCATATCGTGCAAAATGTATGAGATATTCAATGTGGAACTTTATCTCTAATAAAAACGTATTTAATGGTTTCTACAACCCGAAGTAAATCATAGTCAATTTCGAGAGTGAAAGACTTAGACCTTTATATTCTTTCCCTCTCATTCACGAAAACATGTATTGATGGTCAAGTAGATTAATTCCATGCAAAACGGGTATTTATAAGTTTGATATCATCTGATGTGAACGTGGTCGTACAGTACAGTTTGTATTCTTATCTTTGTGAAAATGTCTAAACAATTGAAAATTTAGATGTTGGGTTGTGTTCCTGATAAAATGACAAAACCTGAATTATAAACAATATCAATCGTACAAAGAAATCTGTAATAAATCGCTAACCACAGTTTTATTGTGATAGATTGAAAAATATTTATTACTCAGGTAACGACAGTCAAGTGTTGTTTCATTTCCTCAAGTTATTTTTATGATCTAGTCGATTTATTTACTTTCTGGCATGTTTTTCTGATACGTGTTGTAATTGTCCCTATTGGACAAGCCATTTACTAGAGGTCTAAGGACTTTTCTAACAAGTATCAGTGATGCAGAGAAGGTGGTTGTAAAAACAATATCTGATTAGAATTACGAAAGCATAGACCGAATTGAAATTAGTTTTACGTCCTACTTTGAAAGCATGGGCCGAGATGGTGGGTTAAGACTAAAAAAGCAGTGTCCCGCTTCTATGGTGCTTCTAGCAGAGTAGGGCACATATTTCAGCTCGTCGTCTGATTTTGAAGTATGAATAATAATAATGTCTTAGCTTAAGACAGTTATTAGTTTATTTTGCACTTTTTGAATTTTAAGTAGGTTTGTGAAGTTCAATGCAGAAATTAATGGAAACCATTGGCCGCAATTTACAGAAATGTGTCTGTCTTATAATATTTTGCCGTTAATTTTTGGATCACCAAGGTCATAAGGTTTACGTCAACTTTTTAAAATATGTTATTGATTAGTGTTGGAGAACTAATGTTTTAATCAGACTGACTGTTATGGCTGCCAATAATAAACGTCTACATAGAGAGAACGATTATTTAAGTGACAATTTTCATTAACAATGTAATGAATGTTCATTTTGAATCACAAAAATGAAATGAATGGAGTTGTACGTCCTACATTTCTGCGTCGTGTGGGCTAATGACGTACAGCGCCATGCAGGGCTCAATGAGGGAAATTTTGTCAGGACAGTGGTATTTTTTCTGCTCTTTTTCGATTTCCAACTGTCGAAAGATCTATAACGTTCACAGCCTGTAGCACATGTGGCCTCTGTTTATTGTCCCATCCGAACGACCACACGCTTTTTCCATGTCAGTCACCCTTACCTGCATCACTGACAGGGGAACCGGATTGAAAAATCCGAAGGTATTATCTCGACCTATGCTGGGATTGAATCCTGGACCTTCATGTTAGCGTTGAATCACAAGAAAACCACTTTGTTAAATTATTGATACTACATATTTAACATAATTGGCAAATCTGACATTTCTATCAAAAGCATAATATTATGGAATAATGAAAATGGAAGCTATTGTGATATCTGTCAATCTATGATTATGATCACTTGACAAGATATGCTAGGTTATGTAAAAGTCAGCTAGGATATAATACAACCAAGATCCAATAACCCAAAGCTTGACATTAACATTTGTCAACCGGGTCATACCGTCTTATAATACAGACCATCGTCACGACAGAAGTAATATAAATGTTTTCTGGAAAGTTATGAATATAAATGAAATTGAATTTTCAAATACAATATCGAAACCATAATCTGGTTCTTGTAATTGACGATGTTGATATTGATTTAGATAGGAGATTGTCCATTCCATTGTTATCAGTGGCGGAGCCAAAGAGGGGGGTGAGGGAGGGGGGAGCCCTAAAGACATGTTTTTTGGCCAAAAATCTCATAACTAGGTTAGAAATTTGGGCTACCTCATATATAAAATAAATAATAATAATAAATTAGTTTATTAGATAAGTGTCACAAATCAGCTATACATAAAACATATAAAACAAAATAATAAGATTTCCGGCCACTATTGGCCTATGAACAGTTAAAACGTAAAATAAACAAATTAGTAAATCACATTAATAACACTAATAGTTCCAACAATTAATTCAAAAAGTTAACATAAAATCAAGTATTCATATACAACGCATACACACGCACGCACGCACCCACACACTCACAAGGTAGCACTATCTATAATCATTTATAACATTATAATTATTTTAAAACTTAAACAACTACATAATCGCAGTAAGTCTTTTCCTGGTTTTGTACATATTATCTAAAAATTTACCCAAGTGATTTTGTATAAAATGGTTCGTCATAATAAAATAAAACTTTTGTATATTAGGCATTAAAAGAAAGTTAGGTTCAATTTTACAACATGCATTTAAAAGCGAAGACCTTAGGTTATTATATACATTACATCCATAATTACATGATACTCATCTTCAATATTGTCACAGTTACAATAAATACATATTCTGTTTTCTAGGTGTACCGGTGGTTTAGAGTAACGGCCTGTTTCTATAGCAATTGGGAAAGACTTCTTAATTGACTTATCAGTCGTCTGTGGTATCTGGGTATCCGGTTGTCTGTCACATAAGGTTCGAGCTCAATTTCAGTTTTGTATTTCCTATAGGTACGAAGTTTATTTCCATGCATATTGTTCCTGTCATTAAACAATTGTGTTCTCCATTCATGCGAGTCGCTTAGCTCTAATTTTCAATCTACCACACGTTTGATGGACCAAGAGAGATTAAAAACTATATCTTGCAAACCATCATTATTTATAGTTTTTGTCAACTGACCATACAAGTAGTATATGTCTTTTCGGATACGACGCATTTCACTTCTGCGCATGCGCAGCTTTGTCAATGCATCATATCCGAAAAGACACAACTGTTAAAATGTATTATAACAGACTCCCCAAACTGTATTATAACACACTCCTCCAAACTGTATTATAACAAACTCCCCAATTATAAATTACCCAAACCACACATCACTAATAATAATACAGTAAAAAATAACCGCATTAAAAATGTCTTTGATTTTAAACCCCAACAAAAAAAATTCGAAGGAGAAGGTTTCTTCTCTGCGCTAACATCTCTCATCCCCAAAGTGGCCAATTTTGTCTCAAACAACAAATCCCTCATTTCCTCAGAGGCGCAAGCTCTTGGATCTGTGGCAAAAGCAGGAGTAAATATAAGCGATGCAGTGAAAAAATCTGACGAACTTAAAGAACTGCAGTTAATAAGAGAACTAAGAAACAAGAGACTAGAACGACAAGCCCTAGAAAAACAAGGAAAAGGGTTTAAAATCATTGGATAAAAATGGCAAGCAAAAATTACAGATTGGATCCAATCTTTCAATTGTATGATCCGATTCAATATTCGTTCAACAAGAAGAAAGAGGATTACGTAATCATCTCACCATCAGTAGGGACAAAGACCCAAATAAACGACGGAGGAAGAGTAACCTTTGAAATTAATTCGTTGTCCAATTGGTTGCTGCTNTCCGATGCCCATTTCCGATGCGATTTCAAAATCAAAGACGCCACTCAGAATCGAATTCCACAAACCAACACGACTTTAGAAAACACCTTCTTTCCGTCTTTATTCAGCGAAATGGTTTTGGAAGCTGGTTCAAATCCGATAGAGACCATAAAACACCCCGGCGAGTTTGACACAATGTTGAAAACGGTTCTGTATCCCAAAAACTACGATTCAGTTTCGGGATGGATTCCCGATGTCGGTGACGGAGAAGTTTTAAAAGAACCGATCAGAACTGTAGCAAATGACGCAGACCTTGCTAGGATAAGGGTAGTTGCTAGAAACACACTGGAAAGAGTGACTCGCGGAGTAAATCACGGATTTGAAAAACGAGCGCTTCAATACAACAATGTCGTCGAGAACAACAGATGGGGTAATTACGTAAATTGGAAGTTGTATCCTTTATTTGGTCTCTTGGAACACAGAAAGGTTTCCATAGGTTTACCGTATAAAATTCATTTGCAAAGAGAAATCAACGACAAGATATTTTTTGGTGAAAACAACTCTGACGCAAAATTGGAAATAACGAATATCCAACTTTACATACCGGTAATCACTCCCTCCGTAGAAGTGGAAACGAGAATATTCAACTCTTTAACCAAAGACATCGAAATTGCTTTTCTTCATCGTAACACGGTAGGTAGCATGACTTTAACGGGAGAATCCACCACGTGGCCAATCACCAACACCGTCAAACCAGCGAGATATCTAATGGTCGGTTTCAAAAACTTGCCAGACTCTCAGACAAACAACAACAACATTTTCAGAGTGGCATTGAACCATACTTAAGATCCCATCATTCGCAAAGTTCAAGTCAGATTGAACAACGATAATTATCCCAATCAACCTTTGACAATTGATCCTTCCAAAAAAGATTACAACGAATTGTACAGAAACTATAAAAACATGTGCGAATTGTTTGGAAATACGCCTCAGTTTGAATACACAGATTTTTCACTCAATCATCCAATCTTTTGTTTTGATCTGTCAGCTCATCAAGAAGATCTTTTCAAAACAGGGTTAAACATAAATATTCACATCGATAAAACACAAGGAGATGTGACCGGCTACTGTTTATTGCTGGAAGAAGCAAAACATTTGATTAAAATATCAGATAGAAGAATGATAAGAATTGAATAAAAAAAACACCCTTTAAAAATGAAACCAGAAACTTTAGTTATGAAAATAATAGAAGCTATGGAAACGAATTCGCCGACTCTAATAACTTACAACGGTAAAAAAGTGCATATAACCCAAAAGATTATCGATAAATACAAACATTGCAAAGTCAGAGACGATATAGACTTGGAAAGAATTGATGAGAATTTAACTAAAAAAGGTGGATTTTTACCTTTTTTACCTTTAATCTTTGCTGGTTTAGCTGCAGCTGGTGCAACTGCTGGTGGAGCTGCTGGGATAGCCAAAGCTGTCAACGATAAGAAAGCTGAAGCCGCTGCAAACGCCGAAACACGTTGACACAATTTGGTAATGGAAAGAGAAGCACGAGGAGGTTCGGGAATAGGAGATATATTAGGGACGGTTAAAGAATTCGGACAAAGATTTGGCGAAGAAACCAAGAAAACCGTTAAAGAGGGATTAAGCAAATTAATAGATAAAATCGACACCGGAGAAATGAAGGTCAAACACAAGGGTGAAGCCATATTTTTTAAAAACATACGTTCGGGCGAGGGAATCTTCCTTTCAAAGTATAAAGGCAACGGGGTGATTTTTGGTACGAAAATGTAATAAATAAAAATGGGCAAAAAATTTAATCATTCAGAAATATTTCCTAATAACCCAATGCTCATGTGTATATGCGGTAGTTCAGGTTCTGGGAAAACTCATCTCACTTTTAACATGTTGACAACACCAAACCTTTTAGATTTCGATTCTCTGTATATCTACACAACAACACCAGAGCAATCGTATTATCAATTCCTCAAAGCTTTGGAATATTTACCGAAGAAAGATGTTCAAGACATATTTCAATATTACGAAGAAAACGAAGAAGAGGTGGAAATAAAAGATATCATAGAAAACTTCATTAAATCAAAGAATCCATCTTTCAATCCAACGGATATAAAAGTTTTTCTTACGAAAAATGTTAATGATCTAGACTTGTCTAATATTGATAGCAATCGAAAGAACTTAATATTGTTTGACGACTGCGTAGCGCAAAGAAATCAAACTCTTCAACAAGAATTCTTCACCAAAGGAAGACATCACAACTGTCACTGCATATACCAATCCCAATCTTTTTACGGGATGGATTCTATGTTCATTAGAAAAAATGCAAATTGTTTTTTATTATTTGAATTAAACGATAAAGATTTATCTCAAATCATTCAGTCTATAAATCACGGAATGGACAGAGATACATTTAAAAAGGTTTGTAAAGCTCAATGGAGAAACCCAGATGATCATGGATATGTATTTGTAAATACTAGAAAACCTGCGGGAGAAAGAGTTATGATCGATATATGTTAATTTTATTTTTTAAAAAATGACGGATTGGAATAATTTTTTAAAAAGAAATAGAGAATATATCAAAGCTAAGAATAAAATAAAGACCCAAGTTGAAAATAACAGATTACAACAACTCGGATTAACGAAAAATCTACAGACTCTATTTCAACCCATATTAAAAAGTCAAGAAGATATTAAAAAGAGACTATAGAACCCACGTCTCCTATAGAACCCAAACCGATTGAATATAATGGTATTATAATTAGGACATTAGATGATATAAAACGTCTCTTTTCAAACCCTGACCCAGATTTACCAAAGAGCATTTCACCAATCGTTGATAATCAAGGTTTATTGTTTAATGGATTTAGAATAATATTTAGTCCAAATTCCCCTTTATTCAAAATCGACACAAAAGACTTTATATTTACATTAACGAAAGGATTAATAGATTAATGAATGGCGAGGATGTTGAAATCGCCGATTACAAGGATTTAGTTGCATACTCAAAATTTCTACATGCGATCAGAAAGTCGGGACCCGAAACAAGAAGATTGAAAACAGTTCAAAAATTTAAATAAAGTTATTCCTGATGAAGAGAAATCAGACGATTATGCAGAAGATTATCCACCAATCATACAAGAAGTAGACGAATTCGATGATATGGTGGCATCTGGACAAGGTATAACGTTTTTATCCGACGACAATAAAGAATTGCTTAATAGATTAGAAATAATATTAGCGGCCATGAAGGAAGGTCATCGATCTGACAGACAATACAACGAAGTCAATGCCATATTAAAACGGCTTTTGGAGAAAGAAATCATCACTAAAAAATACTATATAAACGTCATTAAAAATGTCCAATAAAGAACAATTGTTTGTTATCACCTCGAATAAACCAGACATCAAATTGTCTCTAGACTACGAGTATGAACTCGATCGCAATAAACAGTACGAACTGGGATTAAAGTATTTCACCGTTTACAATTCCATTAGAAACATCAACGAAAAAAACAACCAACTAAAAATATCAACGGATAACGGAGTTACGTTCGAAACCATAAGCTTACTACCGGGGAGCTACGAATACGTAGCCATCAACGATTACCTATCCGAATACGCAGGAAGCGTGAACGGCAAAAACAATATCGAATTCGAAGGTAATCTGAATCTGAACAAAATAAAACTGATCTTGAGAAATAACAGTCAAGTCGATTTCAACGTAGAAAATTCGTTGAATGCGTTACTAGGCTTCGATAAACGAATATACGCGCAATCGACATTGGCGCCGCACAAGGTCAACATCGAGAACGATATCGACGTGATCAACATTCACTGTAATTTGATCAACGGTGGATTTTTCAACAAGCACAAACGCCAAATCATATACAGCATACCGACTTTTACGGTGCCGATCGGATACAGAATTATAGAGAAACCGTTTCAAACGACCTATTTACCAGTCAATTCTTTCATGATCAAAGATATAAATCTGGAAATCAAAGACGGTAAAAACAGGTTCATAGACTTTGGCAACGAAGAAATTGTCATTCAACTTCATTTAAAACAATCTTCATTCTCTTCTTGATTAGAAAGATAATCGAAATCATCAAATTCATAGTTTTCGTCAAAACTATACTCATCTTTGTCGTTGTAAGGATACATAATTCCTTCACTGTTTGGTGGTTTTCTTTTAACATTATTCAAATAACTTCTGAAAACTTTAGTTTGTTTATCATTTGGAATAACTACTCCATTGGTGAAACTTTTTTCCCATGGTTTATTAAATTCGTTCGACACATCATGTCCGCTTGCTAACTGAACGTAATCTTCTACACTTATCTTATCATTAGAATAACGTTTAAACGTTTTCTTTTCTTTTAAAACACCGTCAGAAGTCAAAACGATGTTGTATTTGACTTTTGGTGCTAAATATAAACCAAATATAATTCCACCGTCACCGTAATCGTTTTTACCTTTGCAATAGCTCTGTTTAGTTTTTTCCAATTTTTGGATGAAATGTACAAACTATCGGTGTCGGTATAGTATATTTCGGGTTTATAAAATCCATTTATGACGTGAATGAAATTGTTCATTATTTTTTTACTGTGAGATAAAACGAATGATCCCAAATGACTAGGTGTTAGTCGTGTAGATTTACTGTCTTCGGTCTCTTTTTCTTCAATTTCTGTTTCAACAATATATTGAGTATCATTAATTTTCTCATAGGTTTTAACGCGTGAATCAAAGTTGGCCTGTAAAGTTGCTTCATTCCATAAATGTCTAGTTGTGAATATGTCTTTCTGAATTGATTTACCATACAAGGAATTACCTAATAATTTCATGCAATTACTACCCACGATATTACCTTCTCGTTTATATTTATTTCTTAGATCTCTCAAAATTAAAATATAATCTCTATAGGGTGGAGTTTTAAAATTTTCTTCGTAAACTATACCATCTAATATTCTAATAATTCGTCCACCGGCTTTCACTATTTCTTGAATATCCACCGATGTTAAAACGTCGTGACAGAAACCATTTCTGAACCTGATTTTGTTACCAGTTTCCTTTTTACCTTCTTTATTCGTGAAAGTGATTTTATCTTTAGCTGGTATCGGTTGGAAGAACATGTTTTTGGGGTAGTCAAACCACACTGTTAAAATAGCTGTTCTAGGTCTGAATTTTTGTTTATTGAAGAGTTTTACAAATTCTTTTTCTTCTTCTGGTAGAAACGGTCTTCCACTTTCCGCTCTAGGATATTCACTGTCTAAATCCGACATGGCGGAAGCGTATAAACCGTTAGCATCAAATGCCATTAGTTTAGTACATTCTATTTTTTTAAGTCTCGAATGAACCTCCGTTTTGTCTTTTGTGCTTGCACTGTATTCTTTGAATAAATCAATTATGTTATTACTTTCACTTTGTGAAATATATTCCTTTAATACGTTACAAATTTCATCCATTTTGTTCGTTTCAAATGATTTTCTATTTGCCGAAACTCTTCCTCCTTTAATAGATCGTCTGATAAAATTTCTTATAAAAGGATTTGTGTGCGAATAAACTTTTTCTACGTTTTCTTTTTCGGTATGTTTCGCAACCATTCTAGTAGTTTCATACCATTCTTCTTCCACCATTTCTTTATCGTAATGATATAAATAATACCAACCCTTTAAAGATAAAGATGGAGCCGTTAGACTATTGGACATATTTTAGTTTAAAACTTCTTTTGTGACTTGGTTGTATTTTATCAAACAAGCTCCCAAACAGAGAGTGTCTCTCTTGGCGTAAGGTTCCCATTCGTGTCTCAATTCCTCCCAGTTGTCTCACGTGTATTTAGCGATATCTACGTCGGCAATCTTTCTCAAATTCGCGGGAAGATTGGAAGAATTTTCCCATGCAGCCAAACTAGAGGATTCGTGTTGATAGGAACACGTGAAATTAATACGTTGTAAATAATTATCCTTTATTTCTTTCTGTCTTTTCCATTTTTTCTGTAAATCTTCATCCGTGTATGGATTAGATAAAGGAAAAGATAGAATTCCTCTGGGTGTTTTTAAAGGGCAATGCGTTAGTTTTTTTGCATTTTTAAGCACGATCCAGTTGTCGAATCCACTGCCGTTATGAGAAATTAATATTAATCTCTTTCTATCATATTGACCTAAATATTTCAACATTTGATCGATGCAATCTGTACCTACAAATATTTCTACTACATTCATTAGTTTATCATAAAATTCTTCTGGAATGGGATCTGACGGCTTTAAATCTGGAAAGAGATTATTTATTCTGTTTAACATTTTCCTTAGTTTTTCTAAATTAATTAAAGTGCAACAATATGGAATTGCTCTTCGCGTGTCTTTTTCTGAATACGTTTCGCAATCCCAAGCGAATAACGCATCATCACTCATACTCGAAAGCACGTTTAGTTTGAGGGGTGAAACCTGTGTTACTGCGTTGTCGTCTCTACACGTTTTCCACACCTGTTCGTAATTGTCTTCTATTTCTTGAATTCCCCAACTTTTTTGGCTTCTTCTAATCAAACAGAAATGCGAGTTGTGTAAGTAGAAAACCCAATCTAATTCATCGTGAACGTCTCTGGGGTGAAAATGTCTGTTTTTGGGATTATAAATTTGAAACGAAGTGTTGAATTTCTTGTTGAATTCATTCATTCTAGCACAAGTCATCACTCCTTTTCTATTTGCTTTTGAAAACCCGTTGATGTATTCTTGAAATTTACACGTTAAATCTTTGTTCAAAACACGATTGACGCATTTGATAAAACAGTGACCATCTGTAGGTATGTAACAATTTTCGCCTTCGTATTCATTGATCTTTTTAAGTAGATCAGTTCCTCCTCTACCAACTCTCGATCTTTTTATTTCTTGGAAATTGTCTTTCATTAAAATTATTTTTCCTGTAAAATACCAATCGGAAGCATCGGATTTTTTGTCCATATTTGAAAACATATTGTGAAAAGTTTTGGCATTGAAACCGAGGAGTGACATGTATTGTCTGTGATTCCCTTCCTCGACTATCTCTCCATCTATTTTAATTTGTCCTTTGAATGTTTTAAATTTATCAGAGATAACCTTGATAACATCGGAAAATAGGGCGTTTTCTATCAATGTCTCATCAAGTTCGATTTTAATCATATTTTTTTAAGTGTCTATTTTTGATTATTTCTTTATTTTGACCGCTGATATTTCTGTATGGAATTTGTCCAAAATTTCATTGAATTCCTATAGCAATCAAGCCACAAGATGAAGTTTGAATAGCAGTAATTGTGGCTAATACAGTTGGGACAAGTACAGGAACCATTAATCCACCAGTCACGGCCGTTGCAAGTGTTGTTCCTATCGTTAGAACTACACTCGCTGTTTTGAAAACAGAATCGATTCTACTCCATGTTTTCCTGCATGAATTGTACTGTCTCAAATTTCCATTTTTTAAGTCGTTAAATTAAGTGAATTTCCGATAAATGGAACCACGGAATATCGTATAGAGCCTCCTTGTTTGGCCTAGCATTATTATATTTGCGGGTATTAAAAGTAAAAACATTTACGCGTACTAACGACATTTCTTTTTTCGTATGGTCCTCTTTAAGATGATATGAATATTTTATTTTTTCTTTTTCGATGTTTATCTTGGCTCTAGAAATAAAACCACCACCTTCAAGGATGGAGTCGGAACCTTCGGCAAACGATAAATGTATTATAAACTCTCTTTCTTGTTGACTTTTATGAACATCGAACGAGGTGTATTTTCCACCTAAAACAAAACACAGTTTTACGTATTCAAAGTCTGTTGTTCGTAAAAACTCGTGACTGCTCGATTCTATTGGTCTGGGTACGTATACGGGTATTATAAGTGATGGTGGAATTTTGACAATGTTGGTTAATGGTGGATTTTCCGTCTCCAATATCATATCCAAATCTTTGATTCCAATGATATCCTTATCATTTTCTACTTCCATTTTAAAGGTGTCTACATATTTACCATTTTTCGTTTCAATTTCCTGATCCCTTTTATCAATCAAACGTATATTCTCCTCCAAATTACCATCATTGAATAATGCTATATGTTTGACGGCCTTACCGGTTTGTTTGAAGACTACTTTATTGACTTTAACCTTCATGGGAAACTCTATTAGAATCAGACAATTACCTCGAAAAGAAAACTCTTGCGTTTCGCCGATATCGAATACGTTTTTAGGTTCTCCTTATGCGAGAGAACCCACTTTTATTTCTGCTTTGAATCCGTATTTGTTTGATTTATAAATTTGGTCTTTTCTATCGAAGACAGTGTCACTTTCGAATGGTAGATTGAAATAATACGATTTGTCCGTGACAATAGCTTCTAATTTGCTCAACTTTCTCTCTTGTCTCAAAAAATCGTCATGAATTCTAGATACCAAAAGATTGACCTGTTCTTTAATATAATTTTTCATATCATCTCGAAATTTATTTTGAAGAAAGTTTTTAATCACACCCACTTCTTTTTCTAATTCGTCCGTGATTTTAGTATCCAAAGCAGTCAATTGTTGTTTCAACGTATCTTTGTCAATGGGAAGTGTGTTAATTATATCTTGAACATCTGATTTTTGCTTCACGATCTTTTCGTTCAAATTGGATATCGAATTTTGTAACTCGGTTTTGTCCGCGGTCTTGTCTAGTTCTGCTAGCAATTCACCAAGTTTTCTTTCCAAAGCGGATAGTTTTCGTTTCAATCTATTCTCGTTTACATTTGAGTTGTCTATTAAACGTTGGACGTCTATTTTTACCTTCGTAATCTTATCGTCTAATTTAGATATCAACTCACTTGTTTTATCCACTTGAATAAGACGTTTCAAACTCGTTAACTCTTGTTGTAGTTTGGGTTCGTCCACAAGATTTTTAATATTTCGTCTGATGAATCTTTTCACGTCATTTATTCTATTTTCAACATGGTCCTTATCTATTTGAATTGCGTTTATTTGATCCAGTAAATATTTCTTGTTCGCGGCATCGTTATCGTTTCCTGGAAACTTTAAATTAGTTATTTTGAAATTGTTCATATCGATATCCCCTTGTAAGGTGTCTCCGATTTGATCCACGAAAAAAGGTTTCGCTTTGTTTATAAACGCCGTAGAACTCATGGGATTTTTAGATTCTAGAGGTAAAGACCCTAATCCAAACTTGTTTGCCATTTTTATTGAGTTAAATTTATTATAATTTCTTCAAACTTTTCTCCCAAACTCAACCGATATAAAACCCAAAGCGACAGCTGACCACACAGCTTTTGTCCTGGCATTTGAATTTGAAACGTAGAACATTTGATTGGTTTGCTAGTCAATTTCGTTATCTCTTCTGTCGGTTCTAGACCGAAAGAATCAAAGAAATAAAAGTTATTCGAAGAATCTTG